GGCAATTTATGGCTCAAGAAATTGTAAGTATGTTTCTGCAATAAATCTTGCCACATCTGCTATCAAATATTCATTGACAAGGTCAAAAATGATAGTAGATATAGATAATCACATAATGAGTTCTGGTAGCTATTCAAAATTTGTTAATTGGTTGGAGAGCTTAGTAATTGAACCTAAACCTTTGCCAGATGGATTTTTAATTTTAGCTTTTGACAATGAACAAAGAGGTCAAAAAAATTATTTGAATTGTGGCAACAACTAAGTCATTTTTCATGTGGTTACTAGCTTTGTTGCTTTTAATTTCAATCCACATGATAATAGCCAGTTAACAACAAATCCTTGGAAAAATGATTCACTTACTTCAGATGAAATTGAACAATTATTAGACATAGATGATGATATGCAAAGAGAATTTGAGTTAGAGCTTCATAATTTTATTGGTGACATAATAAGTAATTTGTGTAATGAAAAAAATAAGGAAATAAATCAATTGGATCATCTTGTTGTTGATAATCAAAATAATCTTCATAACAAAATGAAAATATGTCTCAATTGTTCTGAAAAAAATATAGATAATAAAAAAAGAAATTGTCCAAATTGCAATGAGAAACTACCAACCCTTGATTCATTAAATTTAAACCAAATTTCTCAAAAACCACCTGAGAGTGCATCTTTAAATAAAAAAATCTGAACATGGTGCTCAAAAATCTAAACTTAGCATAACACAAAAACTTATACCAGACAAAGGAGTAGAAGTTCCAGACATTTACATTCCAGATCCAATACCTGTAAATCCAAATTCATTAAAAAATGTTGAAATTGTATTAAAACATATAGAAAACATTACAGGAATCAAATCAGGGAGATGTAAATGGGTACCTGTTGTATGTGATGGTGTGCCTTATAATCTTGCACTGAAATTGAGAAATGATTTCCCTTGGCTAATTTTACTTCCTGGAGCTCTACACAAAGAAATGAATATGCTTAAAGCGTTTGTAGAATTAAATTGGTAAAAATTTTTAAATTTTAGATAACATTTAAATGTAATGAATGATTGTGTCATTGTTAAAAATATCAAATAATTATCTTTTAGGTTTCAAATGATTTGGTATCTGCTGCCAAGAGATATAGCCATGTAAATGGACCTGGATGTCCACCAAAAAATAAGCCAGTTGTAAAAAGAAATTATATATCTGAAATAAAAAATAAAGAATTTGAATCTTTTTTTTCTGATAAAAATAATGTTACTATGAGTTCATATCGTGTTGATCCAAACACCAATTTACCATTATTATATTTGAAAGATAATAAGCAAGCTCTTTGGCAAAAATTTAAAGCAACTTATCCTGATGGTATTAAAAGGACATCTTTCATGGCACGTTTGGCAAGTGGTCATTATGTATATAGAGAGGATTTAGGAGGATTGTGCAATATCTGTAATGAATATTGTTATGAAGTATTTAATAATTTAATTAATCTAATACAATTAAATGTAGAAAAGGGATTACAGGTATATAATTCAGAAAATAAAATATGTACAGTTAAACCTTGTTTCAATGAATCTATGGGAACACACAAGAAAATTGCATCTAAATCCATTATATGTGAAGCAAAAATTTTAAAGATTTGTTGTAACGCGAATTAATTATTATAATATTATCCGTTGTATGTGAATTTTATTATTATCGTCATTTGTTGTACACGAATTTAATTATAATTCAATTTGTTGGTTGGAACAAGATTCATTGAAGTGAGGTTTGACTGTAACTAATTTTACTATTAAAAAAATTTTTTTTTTTTAAATTTGTTTTTATTAACAAGCTTCAATGTTTTTTTTTATAGAATAAATTAATAAGTGAACTTGAAAAATTACGACACCATCTAAAAAGAGGTTTTGAAAATGAGCTTACAATAAATGAAAATGGCACAATACCTCATGTAAATACAATAAACCATTGCTTATTGTATGCATTTGGAGAATGTACACAAGAACATTATACTCGTTGCATGATGTGTGATCAGTTATTTGAGTTTATTGAAAAATTGGTAGTTATACTTCCAGAAAATCTTCAGAACACAATTGAAGAGTCAAGATATAAATTATATTATTTTTTAGCTCACCAGGCAAGAAAATTCTATTTAAATAATCAATTTAAAGCAAAGCTTTTAGAACTTGATGAAAATGGTGCAATTCTAATATGTGATTATAAGATGAGAATCTTACCTAAGAGTGCACGTGAAACCAAGGAGCAGTTCTTTGGAAAGAGAGGATGGACACTTCACACAATTTTAGTTTTCACAAAAAACGAAGCCACCCAATTAGAGATTCATGCATATGATCATTGGTCCACTGATACCAAACAAGATGCTTGGTTTACAGCATCATCTTTTGATGCAGTTTTTGAAACATTGGACCCCAAGCCAAAATGGATCAAAATTTTTTCAGACAATGGTGGCCACTATCACAATTCCGAATTAATGACCATTATTGCAAATTGGAATCAATGGTACAATATAGACATTCGCAGGTGGCAGTTTCTTGAGCCTGGTGAAGCAAAAACCACTGTTGATTCACACCATGCACAAGTAAGATATTATAGTGAAATTGAATATACAAATAAAAGAATTTTAATCAAATAAAAATACTTCTCTTTTAGATATCCCATGCCATAAAAAGATATGTACGAGTTGGTTACAACTTGGATGATGGTGAAAAAATAGAACCAGCAATCAAAGATTTAGGTGGAACCTCAGTTGCTCATATTGAACCCAAACGTGACCACATTCCTGTAAAAACCATTCCTGGAATTTCAAATCTGTCCTATTTTGAGTGGCCAATTGAAGGATTATTTTCTGGTTATATTCAGGCACAAACTCTTCCACATATAGGTGCATGGTCACGTTATTCTTCTGCTGATATATCAAAATTGACCAAAGAACCATTACACAAGCCAAATCCAGATATTTCAAATCATACCATACCAAATTCAATATGGAGTTATCCTATAGTTGAAGGTAAACTATTAAAAATATTTATAATTGAGATATAACAAATAATTCTAATATTTGAATGGTCTTTCATAGATAAAAAGAATAAGAATAAGTTAGAAATTATAAATAATGATAATAATGATCCAATGCATCCTATAAGTATTGACCTACCTTTTATTATTGTATTATTAAGAACAAGAATTATTTCTAAAATTGTAATAAATTTTTTTTTTAGATATAAATGAAAAATTTCAATTAGAAAAAGGATGGGCTCTCAGGAGTAATCATAAATATGGTCAACGTGGTAGTGGAAAACGTATAACATCAAAAGTTAGAACTTATTTGGAAGGATTTTTTTTGGGGGGAAATGTAAGCAAAACAGATAGAATGTCAGCAAAAGATATGATGGTGGAGTTAAAGAAACTAATGGAAGAAGGTGAAATTCAAGAAGAGGAAGTACCAGAAATCAAAACTATTGAAGGATGGATTACAAGATATTCAGCAACCTTACGTAGAGAATCAGCAGAAAAGAGAGTAGCGGAGAATAACAAAAGTAGTATAGGTTTTGAAAATGATGGAGGAAGTGCTCATGAGAAACAGAAAAGACAAAAAATAAAAAATTCTGGGAAGTAATGAATTTGAAATTATAAATTTTTTTAAAATTTTATTATGTTTTAGTCTATCAAATCTCACTTTCCTCTATAATAAAGCTTTCCGAAATTTTATTTTATTATGAATTTTTTTGGTTTTTTAAAAACTATAGGTTTTTATTTATTCTTTCACATGACTTTTTTTTAAGTTACATTATTGTGTTTGTGTTAACTTTATGGATAGTTCTTGCGCATTCAGAAGTTTTTATATGATGATCGCCCCAAAATTTATTTAATAAAATGCTCCGATTCATAGATGGATCGGCAATTAAAGATTGAAAAATTACTTGCAAAAAGTAAAAATATAACATTAAGTAAGCGTCATAAATTTTTTAAAAATTTTTTTTTACTATAGTTTTAATCTTTATTTAATTATCTCACAATTAATTTATCATTATAGGCCTTGATGGGTGGGGTAGCCCCAATGGTCTGTCAATTTGGAATTTTGTCATTACAACTTCTGATAAAAAAGAGTATTTGTATAAGTTAGAAGATTTGTCTGCTGAAAGACATACAGCACAAATTATTGCAGAAAAAATTGAAAATGTGATGACCAAGATTGGTCCACAAAGAATCGTTGCACTTTTATCAGATTCAGGTGCCAATGTTAGTTTGGCAAGAACAATAGTCAAGAATAAATATAAACATATATTAAATTTGAGATGTATAAATCACTGTCTTAATCTAATTTCAAAAGATGTAATTAAACATGGATTTGCAGAGAGGTTAATTAGAAGAACAAGTATTGTTGTTAAGTTTTTTAAAAAGTCTTACATAGCAAATAATCACTTAAACCAACTTATTAGAGAGAAAGCAATACAAGGCGGTGGTTTGAAACAATATGTGCCCACAAGATGGGTTACTACACATGATTCTATATCATCAATTGTGAGGCTACAACCATGTTTACAAGAAGTAAATTAATATTTCATATGTTATATATTTTTTTTAATTGACATTTTTTTATTTCTAAGCTTTTTTTAAATAAATATAATAAATAGGTAATTCATTCCAATCTTGATATTATTTCAAATGATACTGTAAAAAATATTCTTCAACGAAGAGGTTTTTTTGAAGATATAAATGCTTTAGCTGAAACATTAAAACCAATCCGAACAGCCATTCAAGAATTAGAAAGCTCATGTGTTTCACTTGCTGATTGTTATATTAGTCTCATCAAAATTGCTGCTGCATTCAAACAATTACCATCTGATGATTATAAAGGATTTCGAAATCATTGCATAAAAGTGTTCAATGAAAGGTAAATACTATTTTGAACTAATAATTAAAATATAATCATATTTAAATACTATAATATTTTATTATTATATTAATATTAATATTAGATTTTCAGAATTCATGAATGATACATATTTGTTAGCATACTACCTACATCCTAAATATAAAGGTTATTTAATTTATTTAATATAATTATAATTAATTTATAATTTTTATAATTTAATGGTTATATTAAATATTAATATTTATTAAAAATAGGCATTGGTATTAATAAACAATATTTTCCAAAAATTTTAATGCATACATATTTGTTAGCATACTACCTACATCCTAAATATAAAGGTTATTTAATTTATTTAATATAATTATAATTAATTTATAATTTTTATAATTTAATGGTTATATTAAATATTAATATTTATTAAAAATAGGCATTGGTATTAATAAACAATATTTTCCAAAAATTTTAATGCATGCTGGAAGTATTTGGAAAGATTTAGGACATAATCAAAATTCATGTAAAGATCTGTATGCTCAATTACGTAAATATCAACTTCATTCAGAACCATATGATGCACCTTTCTCAGATAACTATGATACTCCTTATTCCTGGTGGATGACATGCAATGATCAAACAGATAACCTCAAGAAACTTGCCTTAAAAATTTTTGCAGTCACACCTAGCTCTGCTTGCTGTGAGCGTATATTTTCTTCATTGGGTTGGTTTTATGGCAAGCGCCATCAAAATTTATCACTAGAAAAATTAGAAGCAATGGCTAAAATTCACAGATATTATATTACTGATGCAAAGAAAGAGCTTGGATTTGTGGCTCAGGATAAAAGTGAAAATGATGTTAGGAGTTGGATAAATGCTGCATATAATACACTAGAAGAAGATGATGATGAAAATAATGATTCGATTCTAGAATTACTTCCCGAAAATAATGATGATTCTGAACCTAGTGATGACATTGAATTAGAGTTGGAAAGAATTCTCTCACTAAATGAAGTATTTGTTGTTATAAACAATAATGATTATGTTACAGCAAATCAAGAGGAGAATACAAACAGTGAAGCAACTGAAGAAATAGAAGATTATGACCCAGCACAATTAGCTTCTAATTATCTAAGTGATTTAGAATAATATATTGAATATTTTATACATTTAGTAAATAGTTAAAAGTTTTTCAATTTCACAATTTAAAGTTTAAATGGAAAAAATCTATTTTCTGAATATCTTGTTCAATTTTTTTGTTATGTCAATAAAATAATTAGTAATGTAAAATTTAATAAAATTTATAAAATTTATAACAGTTAATGACAGCAGTAGTAATTACTTGTATTGATAGTATTGTTTGAAAGTAATAATCATTTGTAACTATAATGGTAATAATTATTTACAGTGTTCTATGATTGTATCTACCAGAATAGTTGTCTTCTTGTGATAGTTACCAGTAATATATCAACTATTTGCGGCAGCCATAATTATTTGCGGCAACCGTATCTATTTGCACAACTGTATCTATTTGCGGCAGCCATAATTATTTGCGGCAACCATATCTATTTGCGGCAACCGTATCTATTTGCGGCAAATGGTAGCTACCAATAGCTATTTACGGCAATGGTAGCTACCAGCTCAATCATTTACGGCAAGTGTCTTTAAAATATAGTAGTTTGAATAATAAAACAAAGGGAAATTTATTAATAATTTTGCAAGAATTAAGAAATATAAAAATAAAATTAACCATATGACATGGTACAAATTAAAACCACAATAAAAAATAACGATACACTATCAACAACATTAAACATTCAAAAA